GCAGGTTGACTTTTGGTCTAAATCAGGTGTTCTCAAACTACGACCCATGGGCCACATGCAGCCCGCCGAGGACATTTATCTGGCCTGCCAGGTGTTTTTGCTACCACTTCCTGTCCTGCTTAGCTGCTGCCTGTCCTTTTAAACTATAGTCTGGCCCTCCAACAGTCTGAGGGACAGTGAACTGGCCCCCTGTTTAAAAAGTTTGAGGACCCCTAGTCTAAATACTTATTTGAATGCATGAAGATGTCAAAATCTACCAAAAACAATTGGATCACAAAATAGACTGTTTCAAGATAGAACAGTTCATTGAAGGTAGGAAACAATTTAATAATGAAGAGCAATTTTTTTTCTCAGAAAAGAGACAATTAGAAACTTTGTTTGTGGATACTTGAAGTCAGTGCAAGGAGGCTCCTTTCCACTAATGGCATTTTTCATCACTTCTGAAATTCTTCAGCAAGCGCAAGCCTGTGTTTTCCCACTAGTGTTCAATGACCATTAGGAAGGCAAAAGAATGCAATTGGTGAACAGATGATCAGGATTGGTACTACCTGTGTGATCTGACTCCAAATTAGGATACTCATGCTTGACATTTTTCTCATCAGGAAAATTAGGGATCACACACACACAGTCACAGTAGAATCTCTGTAAGATGACCACCCAAGGGTCTGTAACAAACTGGTCAACATACAGAGGTGGTCGACGTAAGGAACTAGGTCCACTGTACTGATACGTAACGTACATGGGGTGCATGTCTGGTCTATGGAAATTAGGCCAACTTCAGGAGGTGGTCAATGTAGGGAGAGGGTCAACTGTGGAGGTTCTACTGTATCTATCTACTGTATATTTCTACTGTGTGTGTGTATAGACACACTGTGTGAGGGAAACACTATTTCCTGAACCCTTGTATTCATAAGGCTGAATCAACAAAATCAAATGGATCAAACTACAGAGTATGTTTTAGGCTTCTGATTTAGGGTAACATTTGAAAATTGTATATGAAATCATTCATTGGACACAGGTGTACTGAGTACTTGCTATGGTTCAAGGTTGTGGAGGAGAGACTTGCTCCTGTTACTGAGGAAACTAAATGGAGTGTTTGACCTTCCTACCCGGACAGAGCCAGGATATTAGCAGCTGAGGCGGGGCTTAGCAGGGGAGGAGTATGACCGAGAGAGTTTGCTTTTGGGGGGAGAGTACGGCTCTGAGCTGCAAGACATCTCTATCGTCAGTTTTCCTACAATGCCTGGTGGAAGTGTCAGTGTGGTTGGCACATCTGGTTCCTACAAATTTTCAAGACTCAGTGATTTTCAAAGAGTCGTAGGCCGCCACGCACACAGACTCTCCTAACCATGAGTAGCCCTGCTTCTCCCGGTGGCTCTCTCAGCTTGCTTTCCCACATTCTTATGGGTTTTACTCTGAGCACACAAGCCATTTGTAGCTTCCCTTCCATGCCACCCTTGGAGCCTCAGAAAACTCTCCAAGTGGCATGAGCACATCTCATACTTCTTCCTTCTCTGCGAAGTCAGCTTCTACTATGCATGTGATAGGCCAGGTGAGGTGCAAGCTCATTTCCTCTCCTTTGCCCCTTGAAACTTGGAGTCCATTTGAATGGTTCCTCAACCATCCCTTTGAACTCTAGTCCCTGCCCTTCCCTTACCCCCAACCCCGACACCCACTAGTCTCCCTGTTCTCCTGGAATAGTTCTGGAAAATCAGGTCTGGGCTCTTGTTTTCTCAATTAGTCCATTTTGCATTGCTATAAAGGATATTCCTGGCACCAGCCAATTTATAAGAAAAGAGCTTTATTTGACTTACAGTTCTGTAGACTGTACAAGAAATGTGACACCACCATGTGCCTCTGGTGAGGGCTCAGGAGCTTCCAATCAAAGCAAAAAGCAAAGGATAAGAAGGTGTGTCACATGGCAAGTACAAAGGGAGAGGAGCAGGAGGTTCCAGGCCCTACTTAACCAACCAGCTTGCAGATGAACTATATAACAAAGTGAAAACTCACTCATTATCATGGGGTGGACACAAAGCCGTCTGGGAGCAATCCACTTTCAGGACCTGAATGCTTCCCACCAGGCCCTACATTCAGTACTGGGGATCAGATTTCAACATGGTATTTGGAGGGGCCAAACCTCCAAACCATGAATACCTTCCTCATAGGCATTACATTGCACAGCAGGAGAGATGCCCTTGAAATTTGACCATTTTATTTATTTACTTTTAAGGGTTTTTTATTTAAATAGACTTAGAGAGTACCAATGATAATTGTGTTACGTTGATGAACTGCCTAGTGGAGAAATGTAGGCTTTAAATATACCCATCAGCTGAATAGTGTTCATTGTACATGGATCACTACAAAAGTTTTGAGACAGACTATGCTATGGTCCATTATTTCACTTCCAAGAAACACAGTCAACAGCACCCATTCGGATTCACCTGTGAAAGTCTGAACTTGCTTGGCTCAGTGGTGTGGCTGGGAAGGCTTCATTTGCTTTTATCCACGTGGATTTTTTTTCTTGTTTTTTGACTTTTGTAATAACCCTCGTATCCAATGGGTAATTTTTATCCCACTATCATGTCCCCCCCTTTTCCTTCCGAGGCTTTATTGTCCATTAGTCACTGGCTGTGGCTGTGCATACTCATTACTTAGTTCTCACTTATAAGGGGGAACAGACAGGATTTGGTTTTTGTTCCTGGGTTAGAATATTGGCTTCAACTTCCATCCCACTTTCTGCAAAAGTCATTATTTCATTCTTTGCGAGGCTGAGTAGTATTCCGTGGTATATATATACCACTTTTCTTCACTGACTCCTCAACTTAAGTAGTACTTAAGTGGGTACTTTGTGAATGTGAAGTAAGACATGAGAAACCCAGTAGGTATAGGTGTCATTTTTTCTTAAAATAAGCTCTTCTCTGGGTAGATCCCCAGTAGCAGACTGCCGGATCAAATGGTAGTTTTACTTTAGTTATTTGAGAAATCTCCATACTATTTTTCACAGAGACTGTTGTAATTTAAGTTCCCACCCATGCTGTGAACAGGATCTTGTGCCTCTGAATGTGACGCCCTGAAAATAGAAAAAGACATGGCCAGAATGAGTAACATTTTATTAATTGAAAAATGACTAGTTCTTTTAAAAAATGACTGAATGATCTAAAAAGAGAAAGAAGGACTTTAGTACTGTTTCAGCTCACAGTAGCCTAAAGAGACATGGCAATGAACCCTGACCTTAGACTAGATCCTGAACCGTACAGGGGTATGCTACAGACACGGTGTTGTTGGCCAGTGGGTCCAATTACAATGCAAATGGTGATCAGGTACAAGTACTGTGTTAACATTAAATTCACTGAATTTGACAACACTATTAATTTGTACAGTATTAATGTACATATTCTTAAAAAATGTGCACTCAAGTATTTAGGTGTAAAGAGCTATGGTGTGTGCAACTTAATTTGATACATAGTCTCTCCTTTGCTATATGTGTGTGTGTGTGTCCCCCACACACATTTCAGATTAATAACAACAGGTAAATCTGGAATCTGGACTGTTCAATGTATTATTCTCAGTCTTAACATTTTCTTTTTGTGTAAAATTACTTATAATTGAAGTTTTTAGAAGAATGTTAAAAAATGTCATTGGTTAACATGAAAAGAATATAATATTTAAGAACAGTTTCAAAATTTGGGGAGAAATAAGTGAAAATGGCATAAAATACATGTTTTTGACATGGATATGTATTTTCCAAATGAATCTTGTACTGCTGCCATGAGGAAACTGGATTCCAGGGAAGAAAGTCTGCCGAATGATAACAAAGACAGGCTGCAGGGTTCCAGGCTGATCTAATAAACTATTAGCTATCATGCTAGCCCATGTTTTAGAGGCTACTTGGCTGTGGAAGTTCAAAGTCAGAGGCTGGTATTTGAGGCCTGCAGTGCACTTCTGTACACAGCTGGGGAGAACACAGACAGTGTTTTAATATGGCTGTAGTTCTACTTGCAATGATGGGCCCATGTATTTATTTTAGTTACTGATAATATGGCCGTTACATCTATCATTTACAAACCACATGTAGGTATTTACATCTAGACCCAGATACACAAATACAATATTGGGGACAAATTCAGAATTTGCAAAGAGTGAAAAATGCAGTTTCCCTTCTCTCATTTTGCATCTCACCCTGGCCTGACCCCATGCCAGGCTATTCTCAGTCTTTAATAATCTATTTGATAACAAGATGCTGTCACAGACCCCACTGGCGGGGGTGGGGGGGGTCACATAAGACACTGCCTGCACCAAGGTTCCTTTCTAAAATCTGAAAATTACTGGACCCTGATATACCCCTGGACACAAGTGTTTGCAGTTGAGTGATTGGGGACCCATGCTAATTTCATTAACAAGCAATTTACTTATTCTTGATTAAATAAAATGATAGTTATCCACATTCTGTCATAACTATCATTTTATTTCATGCAATTAACCATGAAATCCTAAAGCTTATTTAAAGGACCCAGAATCGGGTAAGATTTTAAAATGCTGATTTAAATAAAGGTAATGTCGTGAATGATATCCATAGCTCTGCTACCCTTTGAACGATAAGTAGAACCACAATGGACAAGCACCCTAATTATATTTTCTCTTTCCTTCTGCAGTTATTAGCTATACCCAGGCAAACACATACTGGAGTGATGATAAATTTTGTAGACTAAGAATTTACTCCAGATTCAGAATCCAACTCCTTTTGCCATTGTCCTAGTCACTTATACTGTTTGACCGGTTTCCTTAACTGTAAAAGGAGGCAAATAATTTTGACTAAGCTTTCTTCTGAATTTTAAAATGAAGTGATTCAAAAATGTTTTAATTTTATTTCTCCTTTTCTCTGTTCTATATGGTTCTAAAATAGCGTTCACAACCCTCATACCTCGAACACTAGAAGATGGGATTGTGTTTGTTTTGAGAAAGGGAACCCTCTTATCACAACCAATTTCTTTTGTGTGCAGTGCAAGTCCCGGGGCCAGTAGAAAGCCTGCAAGCTGTATCTACCTCACCTACCTCGATTCTCATTACCTGGGAACCCCCTGCCTATGCAAATGGTCCAGTCCAAGGTTACAGATTGTTCTGCACGGAGGTGTCCACGGGCAAAGAACAGGTAGGTAAAGGAACGGACTGCATTGATTCCATGTGTTGGAGGGCTGTACAGCCAGAAACACAGGAGACCTACGAGCTCCTGATCCAGCCCAGGGCTTTGCACATTCATCGAATAGCTGATTAGTTTCAAAGCACTTGCTATCGGAAACTGTAAACAATTAAATTGAATTCTGGTGGTGAGATGGCCAAATGGGCAATGAGGTGAAGGCAGTAGAAAAGAAGACAATTTGGGGTTTAAGCGTGCAGCAGCCTGGGCCAGTGAGGGTAACCGCATTGGTACTAATTCACCTGGTCCCAAAAGCCATTTGCCATTTCACTCCTTATCCTAAGGAACAATTCTCCTTATCATCCGTGTATCCAATGGCCTTAACCTAGCTGTTCTTTTTAATCCCTATATATTTGATATTATTTCTGTCCTCTCCCCACCGTCAGGCAGTACACTGTTATTTTTCATTATTTCCATAGAACTCCCTCTTAGAAGTCTTTTCTCCTCTTCCTTACATTCTCCTTTTACTTTATGTTTAGCACAGACTCTTGAAAAGAAGTAATTAGTTATTTGGGTGAACTAAAATGGAACGAGTCTCTAGGGAGACACATGAAACATAGCAAATCTATTGTGTGGCAGTGGAGATATTTGCCTCCAGAGTCTCAGCTTCTTGTGGGAGAAGATATTTGAGTGACTGTAAAGATAAATGGACAAGAGGCCTCCTGGTAGAGGAGTTCTTACTAAGGTAGTGAAGGTTGCCAGGCATAGGACATTATGTTTCCACTAAAGTGCATGACTGAGATTTTTTTATTTAAAAAGAAATATTTGCCACAGTCACATTCACAGTTCCAGTCCAGTCTCAAGTAATTATATCATAAAATAACCTTTGCAGGCGCCTCCTATGTGATTGTGTTTTGTTGCTGTTGCCCACCTTACTATTTGTATCTCTCATTTTTCAACTTTCTGTTTAATACACTGGCTGTTCTCTGTATTTAGCTATACAAGAATGCATTTTACCAACCCATTTAAATCACTTTAAAAACAGTGTCACTGAAGAGAGATGTTGAGTGTTGAAAGCTGAGCTCATTGACCTTCACTGCAGCTGTGAAGTGGGGACACAGTTTCAACCGGTCACACAGCATTTGGGGAGAGAAAAATGGTGGCAAATCAGTTGACGTGAACTATGATGACACCACTGCACTCTAGCCTGGGCAGTAGGGCAAGACCTGTCCCCCAAAAAATAGCTATGGCCAGGTATCTGCCAGCTTCAAAAGCTGTGGGTATATCTCAGCAGGGAAAGAGTGAAACCTGTTATTCTTGGTACATTAGTCCATCTGGGGAATAGGAGCAAATCTCTGTTCCCATGGAGTTATAAGATGCCTCTGCCTATCAGAGTTTTGGTATGGGCACAATAACACCACCAATCAGGCAACATAGTGGGTAGTGTGAAACGAATTGGACGTTAGTGACTATAAAACAGCTTGTGCTGCTTTAACAAGAAGTCTACAGAGTAGTCCGGGCTCCAGTGGGGAGGCGGGGCTGTGTCACATGGTAGATTTTACGACTCATCATAAAGCCAGAGTTAGTTCTGTAAGAGTCTAATATCCAATTCCCTGATGACACAGAAGGCCTGCCATTTCTCCCTTAATATGCTCCCTTAATAACAGTTTGGGTGTTTTATCTTTCCAGAATATAGAAGTTGATGGATTATCTTATAAACTGGAAGGCCTGAAAAAATTCACAGAATATAATCTTCGCTTCTTAGCTTATAATCGCTATGGTCCAGGAGTATCTACGGATGATATAACAGTGGTTACACTTTCTGATGGTAAGTTATAAATAGCAAAACTCCATTCACGCATTGGTTATAATAATAAAATATTATTGTGTTTATGTTATTGATTCCATTTCTCAAGGCTTCCTAAGTAATATTTTGTGGAATATATGCGCATAAGCTAGAAATGTGGCTAGTTCATTTATGCTGCCTGTTACAGACAAATTTAAACTTTCTTTTTTTCTCATTTCTTATTAGATCATGTGTACATTGATGCATTGTATACATTAATGCATTTAGGGGGCACAATATGCTGATTGCATATACATTAATGCATTTAGGGGGCACAATATGCTGATTGCATATACAATTTGGAATGCTTACATCATACTGGTTAATATGTCCCTCCCCTCATTTACTTAATTATTGTGTTAAGACATGTATACTCTACACATAATGGTCCCAACATGTACTCTGCAATATGCACCATAGGTGTGATCCCACCATTCACCCTAAACTCTCTACCAAAGTATGTCCTCTGAGTTGGTATGGAATAATAGGTAATCCTCAAAGTGACTTCTGCCTACAAGTTCAAATTATTTTGTGTGTGTGTCTTTATTCATGTAAGTACTCTAACAAACATGCGTATATGTGTATGGACTACAGATTAGTTCTTTTATTTCTCCTAAAAGGATGCAGGTGATTGAAAGGGTAAATGCTACACAATCCCTCTATATGTACCTCTTGATTTGAAAATATATCCTAAAGACTTAGGCCAAATAGTTCACCATTGAAAATATTAAAACTGAACATGAAGATGTATACTTTTAGTTGTATTTTCTGTAACAAATGAAAGATGAGATATATTTCTAAAAAAAAAAAAGATAGAAGAAGAAACCTTAACAAAGGGAATGAATTTGACCTAGTGGTAACAGGAACTAAAGATTTAAGAAATGGTTAGTAATGAACGGTTGTAAAATTTGATAACAAGTGAAATGAAATAAAACAAGAATATGGGATATGGGGCTATTGAAAATGCAGGCAGGTGCAGAAGTGCCAAGATGATCTCCATGGATATTAATAAAGCAATGAGCTAGCCCTCCTCAGCAATGGTTTCCAGGTTGCATGTTTAATTCTATAAACTATAGATCTTTTGAATTTAAAAAATGATTCAGACCTTTTGAATTAAAAAAATGATTTTACCTTGTGATTCCTTGACACATCCATCATTCTTTAATCTGGGAAAATATCCATGCGTATATTTTTCATGGTATCAATGGAATGAAGAAGGACATGCCTGTTATTAAGGGCAGTGCAAAGAGAACACAGGAGTAAGGCTCATTTGCAGTGTTGACTTGAAAGAATGGATTTCATATGTAATACCCTTCAGTATCATTTTTTAATGCGATTCTTGTGCCCATCCGTCTGATTCTGTTATTGAAGACAGAACAGAATATTTATTGGCAGAATAAATTACTTCACAACTTATAATTATAAAAATAAAAGAAAAACAAATGAAAGTGAATATTTTACATAATTTATGTAGATTTCATTCACACTCTGAACTGTAATACTGTGGCCTTATTCTCCACTTTGGTTTTAAATGTCATAAGTGAGAAAGATAGATTATTATTCATTAGCCCAAGAATTATCTTCTGGAAGGGTTGCAACATGTAGGACTTAGAAAATGCCTGTCACTGAAAACTAAAAAGATTTCATGACCCTAACCCCAATAAACGTCACTGTGCAGGGGACATCGAGTTCCCTCTATCAGATGCATTTGATAGGAAAAGGCATCAACTCTGCGGGGCCCGTAGGTTGGGTTCCCTGACCTTGTCTGCATTCATCTTCACAATCAACTCATCCCTTTTAATTTCCAACAAAAATCTGCACTTTTGGCTTCGTCTCCTTATTATTACCATGTCCCTTCCTGTCTGCTTCAATCAAATGTTTTCTCTCTCCTGAAGCTGCTCATGTTGAGGTCAGATATCAGATTTATTTATGTTCAATCACATTTGAATAGTCACCTGCTTCCTGGTCCTCAGTCATTCGTGAAGTGCGCTTCTGCTTTGACATTTTGGGTATTGCAGAAGGTGGATGATGTGAAAAGTAAACAGGGTGATCCAGGCAAGCCCCTAAAACTCCTCATGACATATGTTTAAGTGTTTAATCAATACCATATCTTCCAGTGTGTACCTTGCTTCTTCTCATTATATTAATATGACATGCTCCTAAATATGACAGATGGTATTATAGTTATCCTTGTATTCCCCTTAACTGAATAAGTGTTTATTGGATTCATCAGGCTATAGAAATGTTTGCGTATAACGACTGATCCTGGGTGGTGCCTGTGGCTCAAAAGGGTAGGGCGCCATCCCCATATGCCAGAGGTGGCAGGTTCAAACCCAGCCCCGGCCAGAAATTGCAAAAAAAAAAAAAAAAAAACAAAGAAAGAAAGTAAAAAGGACTGATCTTTAGGACTTCCACGTGTGGGGTTAATTTGACATATGATATAATTAGACACATGTCTAAATGTGTCTGTGTTATAGAGAAAATCATAATTCTTATCATGTCAGAAACATCCTTCCTAAAAAATTTATATCGGGGCATAGAAAAATCAAAAAAGTAAAAATTAAATGTAAATAACTTATTTCCTGAATTTGTTATTCCAGTCTTTTTTCCATGGTCTGCTAGGATGCATGTTTGTAATGACCATGATCCACACGAGCTGCCGTCTCTGACTTAGCTCTGATTTAATTGTTTCCCTGCGTAGAAACATCAACTTTCATTCCAATTCCTCCTCCTAGTGTACCATTGGTTTCAATGACTTGCTTTTTCACACAACTGAGATTATAGAGCCCATGATCATAATAACTGTTTTTGCCTGTTTGTTTCAAAGTAATTTCTCCTCAACTGGTTGGCATGGGTATGTTATTAAGAGCTTTTATGAATTAATTAATAATTTTAAGTGTCCAGGCTGGTTTGCCCTATGTCCAAAAGCTGAAGGTCCAATTTCTTAGGTAATGTAACTACGAGCTTATTACTGTTACCACCATTATCAGTTAGATTTGTTACTAGTCTAAGAGGCTGATTTAAGTACTTTGCATTAACCTTTTATCCCCACAATAGTATAATTTTTTCTACTTCATATGTGACAAAAGTAAGTTAGAAACAGCTCACAAAAGCTAGTAAGCCGCAGAGCCAGGCCACATAAGCTGGTGAGTCAAGAGGCAGGATTTGTTGTGGAAACATACGTTTCTCTCATTTTATGATAAAAGATCCTTTAAAATGCTGATAATTATTTTGCTCCAGAAGTTGTGTGTGCTACACAGCACACATTGGCAGAGGGGAGGAATTGGACTTATGGAGATTCACCCACGAATGTGAACACTTGATGTGCCCTGCAGAATTCCTCACCAGCCTGGGTTTCACACCAGCATCCTCCTCCATAATTTAAGGGACTTTCCAGTCCCACCTCAGATTGACTTTAATGGACCTATTTCATATTTTGAATAGAGAAGTGTCCTTTGCCCTCTGCTTCATGAAACAAGACATCTGGGGAAGACAAAAACCCAGATAGATGTGAGTTCCCTTTACTTTCACCAGCCATGGAATCCTATCTGTTATGTCTACTGATCTCTAAATAATATGGAGGTTGATAGTGAGGAAGAAGTCGGGATTGATAACTCAAAATACCGTGGACATTTTTCTTTACTTTCCTCTCTGCTATGGCAAAAATAGCCAGTGTGGGACCAGTGACAAGTAAGAGACATTTATATTGTAAAGAAAATAGGCAAAATACATTAACATCATCGTTATAGGAACCCCTAGTATTTTATTATACTACCTTTTAATTCTTAATACAGAAAGTAACTCTGATGCTTCTAAAAGTGTGGTAGTTATAGAAAGAAGAACCCATGTTTAACTTTCCTCCTGGTATATTCTTGGCTTTCTGGAAATGAGATGTTAAATATTGTTTATAAACTTAAATAGAAGTGACATTTGAGGTTTGCATATCAGCTGGCACAGTGTGTACAGCAAGACTTGACAAACTTAGTTTATTTTCTCCCTCTTCCAAAATCCAATCACTTATCATAAATTTAGTTCGTGTTACTGAAATTATGTTTTGCGACTACTTAATTGGCCAAAAAGTGGGTTTGATATGATTAGAAACATATAACATGATATGTAAATGTTGTAATATATGAAATATAAACTAGAAATTTGTTCATAGTTTAGCAAGTGACTCATTAACATTTAATATTAAGTCATCCTTTCCTTGGCTATTGGAAGATAATATTTTTCAGAAGTTTATGACATTATCTGAAATACAGCATGTCATACCTCAACTGATACTTCAGTTAAAATAATGTTGCAATTTATACTTCAGTAAGTATAATACTCATTAAATAAATTAAAATTAATACATTAATAATGCATTTGCAATTTATACTTTAATTTAAAAAATAAAATTGGAAAACCAAACAAAAATTGTGGCCAAACCCTGAAAAGAGTTTTTGTTATACCTTATAAACTTTTGAATGAACGTTGGATGAATGAATTGTTTATTCATTCAACAGCTATTTACAGGGTATATATCATATGCCTTACACTCTTGATGCTGGTGATACTGCATCAAAATGAACAAAAATCCTTATCTCTGTGAGGGTTTAATTCTGGATTTAATATTCTGTATTTAGTAACAGAAGCATGAATGTAGAAGTTTAAATATAAAAATATTTTCTACATTATGAACCTTTTTGAAAGAATACTTGTTGATTTAATTCATTAAAACCAAGCTACATTGGTGGAGTCTATGGGTCAGCGGTTAGGCGTTGGCCACGTATACCCAGGCTGGCAGGTTCGAAGCAGACCAGGGCCTGCCAAACAATAATGACAACTGCAGCAAAAAATTAGCTGGGTGTTGTGGCGGGCGCCTGTAGTCCCAACTACTTGGGAGGCTGAGGCAAGAGAATCGCTGAAGCCCATGAGTTGGAGGTTGCTGTAAGCGGTGACGCCATAGCACTCTACCTAGGGCAACATAGTGAGAATCAATCTCAAAAACAAACAAACAACAACAACAAAAAATCCCAACCTATATTGTCTACAACTTTTATGAGGCACTAAGTTCAAAATCAAAACAAAATAAATAAATGCATTTTCCATCATGTCCAGAAAGATTCAGGAGCTACTGCGTAAGTTAAGTATTCATTTGCTCATTCTATCCTTGATCCAGTAAATATTAATTGAATGTCAGCTTGAAAGATAAAAAGATTAATCAGATATATATCATGCTTTCATGGTGGTTACTTTTCAGAAAATAAAATCAGAGTAGTGCATACATAAATTTAAGGTGAACTATAAGTACCCTATAGAAAAACATAGATTTTTGTCCAAATTCAAATAAAAGAAGAAAAACATGACCAAAAAATGGCCCTAAAATTTCTTAAAGATGCCTGAGAACATCTCTTTTTTAGTAAATTCATCATTTATCAGGAACAAAGATAGGGGCTAGTCATTTTGTAGATTAATATGTGTTAAGAATTTATTGAATTCTGCTTCTATTCCTATTGTGGGGCAGACAGTGTGCATGAGTGGTTGTTTGTTTGTTTGTTTATTTGTTTGTTTGTTTTATGATTCTTCTCAGACATCTAGACTAGTCCCTGACACATAACAGCCATTCAACGAATGGTGGTCATTGAATGACTCCCATGATAGAATATTCACATTTTTGATATATAAGTATTTCTTACAAGTATGAAAGGAAAACTGTATAGGTTCTTCCATCTTCTATAATGAAGAGAGTAATAAAAATGCAGGCAAGAGAAACTGAAAGCTATATCAAGAAAATCTACAAAGAACAATAAGGTGAAAGGCGAAAGATTTATACTATTTGAGGAAATCTTTCTAATAGCAGAGTATGAATGTTTTAACTCAATAACTAAGAAAATGACATGAAAGTTATGTTAACCAGTTTGATGAGAGTATTTCAAAATGTGTATGAAAACCGCACACTGTACCCCATGATTGCATTAATGTACACAGTTATGCTATAAGAAATAAAAAAAGAAATATTTTAATCTAAAAAAAGAACAATAAAGTGCTTATTTGTTAATAGAATTGAGTGAGGGGATGCTGTTTATTAACCTGCTTGCCTCTATGATACACAGGTTTAATTACAAACTGCTAAAAAAGAGAAGAAACTATTTCTTTTCACTTTTTAAGAGATAATAAAGATTGTACTGGAGGGGTTAAGCATCCTGGGTGGGTGACCATTAGAATGACATATTTCATCATAAAACTATGCAGATCCTGAAGTGCACTATATCTTAAGCCTTTAGACCCAGTCTAGGAAATCTCTTGTGTGTTTTTGTTGGTTTCTCTGGGAAGTTATCACAAGAAAGCTGTAATTAAATATGGTGGGATTTGGTATCACAGCAAGTGCACACTTGCCGAACAGTTTGGGGACTCCTTAGATGGATAACTTACTAACCCACTGAGACAGAAAATAAATAAATAACCCAGTACAGTTATTTTTAATCTCTGCAAAAAAATTTTGATGTGCCCCTTGGGTTAGCCTACCTAATTATTACTATTATGAACTGTGAAAAAGACACATTTTCTCTTTTCAAAGTGGGTTGGAGAGTCTTTTTTGAGACTTTGGCAGTAACCGTCACACTTTCTGTGATTCCTTGTAGTGCCAAGTTCTCCACCTCAGAACATCTCCCTGGAAGTGGTCAATTCGAGGGTAAGTTGGCTAAATGATTCCTGCTTCATTATCTGTCATTCATTCACAACCCCCACTCACCTACTGCCAGCTGGAGTACAGGATGCAGCTTCCATGCGAAGAAATGCTCTGTAAGAACAAAGTGAGTGGGTGGATTCCACGTCCTCTTCCATCAGACTTAAACAAATTAAATGAGGTATTTGTTGACTTCTAGTATGCTTGATTTTATACAGGTTGTAATGGTTAAAGGGGACTCTATCAGGAAACAAAGATGTCTTTTTTATCTGTACTCAAAAGTATATTACTCTGGCAGTATGCTAAACGGACCCATTGAAAGAGGTGGGATAAAGAAAGAAAGGCTTTGTTTCCTAACGTATTAATTAGAATTTAGTATTTCATCATTATCTCTGGTCTTCCCTTATTGATATAAGTCATTGAAGGCCATTCTTTAAAGCCCGATTATGTTAAATGTATATAACAGTGTTACACAGTCATTCTTACTTTCCCTGGAAAGCCTGGAAAGTTGCTATGACTTTAAAAAGCACTTAAGCTAAATATAGCCGAAGATAAGTAGCCTAATGCCAGAAACCAGTTTGCTGCAGACTTGTCATTATTTCCAGTGTGTCTCAGGGTTTAAAATGAGCCAAAGCCACCTGGCAGAGTGGAACAAACAAGGATTGGTCTGGTTTGACCCTGTCATCCGCCGGCTGCATGCCCTCTGGGAGAGCATTTCACTAGGCCTGGGCCTCTTCTTACCTTTCAAGGGAAGCAATTGGCTTAAATGGTTTCTAAACTCTAGGAGACAGCAGGGAAATTATATGGGTCTTAGAGACATATTCTGGATTTTAATTCTAGCTTTCCTTTTTCATAATTGTATGTGGTCTTAGAAAAGTTTTCAACCTCATCAAACAGATTTCATTATTCAAATAGTGCTAGTGTTAATGATTTTTTTATTGGCTTATCTTTAAAAAAAATAGTAATACAGGATATTCAATGCCTCCAACTTAGTAGCCATAGTGATTATTGCAAAACTCTCTGATGAAGCCGTATTTTGTGACGTTGATTGGGTTTGTCTCAGTCAAATGAATTTATCTTCTGAAGCTAGTGGGATGTTTCCGAAATTGTTACCCTCTTTCATTTTTAGGCACAATGTTGGATAAGAACTAGTAAAACAAATATAAAACTAAAATAATTGAATGTAGGCTGAAAAAAGTGCTGAAGGCAAATAATCTGAAATTAACATAGCCCTAAAAAAGACATTTTTATCTGCAACAACCTCGTTTTACAGATGCACCACTCAACCTAAGAGACTGTCAAGCCAAAGTCAAGTGGAGTTTTACAATTATTTATGTTGTTAAGGAATGAAATTCAGGAAACATATTGTTGTGTCTCTTGTTTAAAGAATCAGGGTTATTAGAATCTTCACTTACTTCGTATGTTTCCTCCAGGAAATGACGTGGAATTTGATATATATACAAGCTGTTTTGTGTTTGTGTGATTCTAGCCTTTAAAAGTGCACTTCCAGCAAAAGGTGAACGTTTTCTTCTGACATGTAAATAAGTCACCATTGAATGACCCTGGATGCTAACTGTATTTGAATTTGGATTTACAATCTCCCTCAAGAGGGAATTCCTGGATTGCAAAATTGACTTTTTCAACTGATTTATAGATATGTATACAAATCTCGCATTCCATATTCTTCTATAATATTCAGCAAGAAAATATAACACAAACACTTCTGTTCCTATTTCTCCTGTAGTCGGTCTCGGGAACTGCTAGAAAATTTAAATTGTTCACGGGATTTTCAAAATGAGTACGTCAAACCCAGGCCCTGGAAGTTCTCTTATTCTCTCTCTTTCTCTTCCTCTCTCTTGTCTTATCTCCTAATTTCTAAGGATACGTGAATTATAAATATTTTTCTTAGATTATTATCCAGAGGAAAGAAACTGGGTGATTAAAACAGTGTTTTATCCATTTTTGATATGTTGATTTGGTGAAAGGCAAAATAATATTCTATTTTCATATTCTGTGTTTGACATAAAGGAAGCGTTTTCAAATATATTATTTACCCCTGACTTTTAGCATTTCAAGGAACAAACTATGTAAAAACAAAATATTAATATTGAATAATTTTTTTTTAAACTAACAGAATTGCAGGTATTTATGTTATTTATTTTCCTTGGGATTTTTTTTTTTTTTTTGAGCAAGAAGGAGAAGAGTTACATTTTATTTTTTATCATTATTTTTTGTTTGTTTGTTTTTGAGACATAGTTTCACTTTGTCACACTGGGTAGGGTGCCATGGCATCATAGCTCACAGCAACTTCAAGCTCCAGCAATCCTCTTGCCCCAGTCTCTCGAGTGGCTGGGACTACAGGTGCCCACTACAGTGCCTGGCTACTTTTTTAGAGATAGAATCTCATTCTTGCTCAAGGCTGATTCGGAACACGTGAGCTCAAGCAATCCATCTGCCTTGGCCTCCTAGAGTGCTAAGATTACAGGTGTGAGCCACCGCATCCAGCCCAGAGGCATTATAAAATTCGATTCTGTGGCCTACTTGTAAGTATAAGGCATAATTTATTGCTTTATTGACAATCAATGAAGAAATTTGGCCCTACTGATATTTTTACAGAAAGACAACTAGAATTTCTATAGTTAGACCTGAGAGGTCATTTAAACTATAAAATGTAATTTGTAGGTACTTAATTAAGGTCAAGGCCACCTAGAAACCAATTGGACTGAGAAATCATGTTCTGGACTATTCAAACAGAGAGGTCCTTATACATTAGACAATAGAGCTTAAGGGTATTCTCTTACTATATAATTCCTAAAAACTCCAGAGTGGATTACCTTTACACAGCTGTAATAACGGAACAGACTCAAACCCCTTTACACAAGCTAACTGTGATCACAAGTTTTGTATTGAAATAATGGTTTGACCTCCACATACTATATGTCAGGTGATAATAGATTATGATAAGACATATTTCTCATACAAAAATTTCTTTACAGGAAATAACAGCTTCCCATGGGAAAAAAATAATAGTTTATTTACAGTATGGACTTTAAAATGTGACTATGTTTAAGAAAACCTTCTTATAAAGAGAATTTTGCTTAAGATTATACTTTTAAACTGAGTTATTATTTAAGCAAATAAATACTACAGCTAGTTGGTTGGCTAGAATATAAAGCATGTGCTTATAGAATGCAGAGAACTAATGTTGACACACAGCCACTTCCCTACATTTCAATCCAAAAAGTCCTGGGAGCTTTCAGGGTATGCTAGGATTCAAGATGCTTAGGTTCATTTACCAGCTCTTTGAGACCCTTGGAAAGTCACTATGCCTTGATTTTATTTATACATTTAACATTTACTTTATACCAACCATAATATTAATACCACTTATAATACTAGGAATATGATCCAGACCTTCCCTTCATGGAGCTCACAGTTTAGTAGGAAACATGTGAAATAAAAAATTCCTATTGCATCTACTCATCCTTAACTTATGGTAATCTGTCAAAGTTCACATTATACCCTCATTGATAAAAAGAGAGATTTAAAAAGAGAATCCTAAAACCTCTTGCCATGCCACCATCTATGACTGTATTTCTATATACTATTATAGCTTTTTTCAATCACTTTATTTGTCCAGAATTAGAGAAAACAGTACAAGTAAATTGATTAGAACATACTGGGTCTAACGTATAAGTTTAGATATTCATCCGCTGAGCGCTACAGGATGATTGTCAGGAGAGAAATACTAACCTTCCTTTTCCCCTCCCACCAAAAACAATACATCATGAGGCTCATTTTTAAATCTAAAAATCTAAACAATGTAGGATGGAGGTTTCTTCTTGTTCTATCACTTCAGCCCTCTTTATTGTTGAAATCTTATCCTTGAACATCTGTCTGTTTGTTGGATTTGTAAAAGCTGATATAGTCGTTCAGAATATGAGAGTCTATGTGGTGGTTTCAGTGCAAATGTAGAAAAAGTTACCAGTATCTCTCTTACTTATTTATTTAGAAACAGGGTCTTACTCTTTCTCCCAGGCTGAAGTGCAATGATTCTATCCCAGCTCATGGCACCTTAAAATTCCTGGGCTAAAATGATTATCCCAGCCCATCTTCCCCAGCAACTAGGACTAGAGGCACAGGCTATCATGCCCAGCTAAGTTTTTTAAATTTTTTTTTTTCATAGAGATGGGTTATTGCTATTTTACCCTGCCTGGTCTTAATCTTTTGGCCTCAAGTAATCCTCCTGCCTCAGCCTCCCAACGTGCTGGGATGACAGGCACAAGCCACCATGCCCGTCTCACCCTACAGCTTAAACTGTCTCACATTCCCACTTTTCAGCAAAATTTGGCATACTTTACTAACTTGAAAATGAGTTCAACAGTCATACAATTTCCTTTACCCAGAAACTACCCAAAAGGAGAATTCAAACATCAGTTTTATACTTTGAAAAACAAACTTCTCACCTTCACTTCTGATATTTTAACTGTGTATGTGTACATGATTGTGTGTGTGTGTGTGTGTGTGTGTGTGTGTGTGTAACAATACAGAGGAAATCTATGTGTATTAGCGGGTAACTTAGGTAACTGAGAAGGGCATGCTATTGAAGATGTGGTCTGACTTGAAGAATTTTTGTCTATCTCTGTCCCTTGTCATTGAGTTGGTGATAACTCTCTTATCAACACAAGTCCACAGCCAAGTAGTTAGCTGAGTGAGTTGTTTGTGTATGACTCTCAGTTGGAAGGAGATGGAGGAAAATTGGAAGAAAGGAAAACAATGTAAGTTAGGATATTGACTGGGAAGCAATGTAATTTAGGCTATTGACTGGAAAGCAGTGTAAGTTAGGATTTTAGTATTCAAGTTCTCTGTGTTTTTTGTTTTTGTTTTTGTTTTTGTTTTTTCATTTCTTTTTTCTGAAACTAGGGTTGTCTTTTCTTGGTAATACAGATTTGAATTCACACCCTTCTCTTCTGCAGAACCACACTTCTGGAAGTGTAGTTCTCAAA